GAAAGATGGCAGCAGTCGTATCCGGGATATTCGAAAGTGGAGACGTCCATCTTTTATATGTTGATGCATCCAACACAGAGCTCTTGATTGCATAATCTGTGTGTTTAATTAAACCGCAACAAATCTGGGGCCAGGTGGTAGAAACACTGTACATGCTGCACAGAGAGTAAGAGGAACGAGGGGTTAATAGGGGCCCAGCGGTTCATCTTTGCCCTGGGGACCTTCTAGCAAGTTAATCTGGCCACATCATTCTTTTTTTGCCCAAAAAAGGATTCCAGGCCCCAGTAAGTGACAAATATGGTGAGGAGCAGTAAACTCAAAAGTGCATGTTTCAAAGTAAAGGTCCCTTCATAAATATTTGACTGATGAAATTAAACACATTACTTTAGATTAATTAGAAAAATAATCATCTGTTATGGACACATTTTAGACTAAAATATAGTGAAAAAAGATGTACTTTTTGGAATAAAACAGTGTATTGATTTCTAATGCCACCTTTAGATATTCCTATTCACTGCTTTATTAATGTGCCACAATAATGTTTATATATCTTTATTTGTGGGCTTTTCCAAGAAAATATTGATATGTGTGATAGTTTGTGATTAAATCAGCAGATTTTCCTTAAAGCTTTTATACTTTTATAAACCTTTTATAAAAATAACTTTTTTGTCACATTTTCAGAAACTTTTACTATATCCTGACAGTAGTGGATGAGAAAAAATGGACTAGGAGGATCCAGAGGAACCTGATTTTTTCACAGATTTTCTGTCTCATGTACTACTGTCAGGATATAGTGAAAGTTTTTTATTTTTATAAAAGTTACCTACTGCAGCTTTAAAGACTCCATGCCACCCTCTGGCCACCCCATGAACTTGAACTGACATTTTGTGTGAGCACCACAGTAACTGTTACGGCCTCACTTCACACCCTCCAGTTGTGTAAGGTCACTTTGGTTATCGATTTCTGCCTGGCCCAGTCGGCCCCTCGGCATACCAAACTTTATCCCCAGCTGACAAAAACACAATCGGTGCCTTTGTCCGCATGCTTTATGCTTTATGCTTTATGATTGGTGGCTCCTGCTGCGTGCATCCTGATTGGTCAGAGACTTTTAACATTGCCTCTCGAGGGTCAGTGGGATGACCTTGCACTGTGTCGGTAAAGTGTAAACATTGGCACACACAGTCTGTTTCACTTCTATATTTATAGTCATAACTGCCCTGACTGACGCTTGTTGCTCTCAACAACTGGGCACAAATGCAGCAGCAGCTCGCCTCTCATTATGTAATCCTGACCTGTGTGTGGGTTAGTCTTTGTTCCACCCAGCAGTCACACTGTGTGCACTCACTCTGCTGTGGTGACCTTGTAAAGAGCACAGAGGAGCTCACAGGAGGTGGTTGAAATGTAATGCTTACCTGGCTGTTTGCATTAAAACCAAAGAAACAAAAGAGACAGCACAGTGTCAGCACATGAAAACTACAAATATGTGTGTTTTTTACAGTTTCATGGTTAATAAAGCTACATGAGAGAGAATTAAGGCTGTTACAGGTCACTTTGACTTTGATGAGAAACTATTTTACGACTCCAGCTCTGAACCTAACACACAGACATGAGACATCTCACTCTTGGACAGAAAGCAAAACTAACAAGGAGGCTTCTAATTTCTGTTTCCATAGTGACTAATGAACTTTCATGCTCAAGTTGTGTTACTTTTTCCATTTGTGAAGCTGCCACACTATTTTGGAAGAAAGTTAATTTAGACCTGACTCACTTGGGGCTCTAAAGACGTTATTCACAAATAACCTTTTTCCTATGAGCGGACAAAAGACTCATCATCAGACACATATCACTGAGATTGTTTGATGGAGTCTGTGAGTGTGAACAGTGTGCTTTACGTTTTACTCCCACATCAGCAAACTAGTCACATTGGTACATGTTGATCTGATTTTCTGCTTTGTATGTCCAATGGGAAACACCCAGACCAAACAAGTTACTAAGAGACAACACACACTCTGCATGCAGTGAGAGAAACTTTCCACTTTCAGCAGTATGAATGTGAAAAAACATTCCTTGTAGTGTCAAAACTCGCACAGACAGTCATTCAAAACATCACACTGTAGGAACAAGAAGAAACACTGATTTCTGACTCATGGGGGACTTTAACTTAATTGGTTGCAGTCACAACCTAATATATCTTGTCCAACCCAGCAGCCTCAAGGATAAAGCATTCTGTTTGCTCAGAGCTGAAGCAAACACAAAGACTGTTTGTACAGGATATTGTGGGAAATATGAGAAACCGTTGAGGATGTTTGCATGTCAGAGATAAAGAAACAGAGAGAGACAGGCAGAGAGAGACGGGCAGAGCGAGAGAGAGAGAGAGAGAGAGAGGCTCCTCCTGTCAGCTGGGATGAAACTGAGGAATGAGTCATGTGACCTCGGGCTCACACGCCGTTACACTCAGCTGACATCATCAGCCTCAGGCTTACAGAGAGGTTAAAGGTCACCAACAGGGCTGACAGTCAGAGCGGTTCCTGAACCTATAAATCAATACTTCACCTCCAGGTGATCTCAGAGTGTTATATGAGTACAACAACAACAACAACAACAACAACAGCTGAGGAGGTGGAGCAGTGAGGGATCATCAGTCAGCGTCTCCCGGTTCCTTCAGCGTCGGTTCCACAGGTTCCACAGGTTCCACAGGTTCCACAGGTTCCACAGACGTCTCCTCTCCACAACAAACACAGCCGCTGATTAAAACCACTGAAATATAATCTGATCACTGAAACTCTTCATCAGGTTCAGAATCGAGTTAAAAAGCACCGAGATCTGAAGAGCGGAGGGTAGAAATATGAGAAC